CACATTATTACTATGCCATAATTTAATCCACCTGCAGTGTTTAGCATATAATCCTTCATGAACTCACTTCGGGGACATCATCAAACTAACGCACATGGTGACCGTAAATATCCTAACAACACATCCTACATGTAACAATATTACCAAGACAGCGGGTCTATTGGCCCAGTTCACTAAGCCTCACCCATGTGAATCAAAGTAATAAATACTACACATATATGTCTGTTTAATATCTTACGAGTTAAGAGTACGCAGTAATTAACCGAGGCCTAGTTCATTTACGACAATCAGTATAAAACGAACTGCTCCTCTCTGGGATCCTGTTCAATACATAAATGTAATAGTGCAACTAATCAGTCAAGACAAACTGTACAGTTGACACTACAACCGTTCGCGATGGGGTGTTCATGTCCATCTGGGTTGTGAACCACTTATTCTTGTTTCGCGAGTAACTAATAGCATGATCTTCGGTTCGCCCGATGACGACCCACACTATCTAATGCAAAACAACAGAACGTAGAACTTGTTTAATCTAACATATTTCTCATTCATAAAGGGTAAAAGTGTAATATCATCCAAAGCCAAGCTTTCAGTGTATAACACTAACACCACGAACCCCGCCTAGCTGGCTGGACTAAAACCCAGATCACAACCGGTCCTTCATGAACCGCTACTAACGATATCATACATATATAGAGAATTTAAAAGTGAAGAAAAAAAATAAAAGTGAAGAAATCATCGATAGTTTTAAGACCTCTTTAACTTAAAATTACAAGAATCTCGTTAAAGGAAGTAATTTATTAAATTTTGATAGTTTACTTTAAAGGGACCAACAAAAAATCATTTCGATAATATATCATTTTCATGTTTTTATGTTTTTTTTATTATCACAGTGAAAGTTTTATTAAAAAATAATATTTAATACATATATATACACAAATCCCCCTATATATAATTGCAGAATGCATTGAACTTAAGTGGCAGATTCGCAAGTTTCGAAATTCTGTGTGACAAAAAATCATGGTTCGGATTTGGACATGAATTAATATTTTTTATAGAATTAGGCTTGGATTTCATTTAATGTCTATATTTTTTTATATTAAATCCATAGCGATATTTTCCTTCTTTTCTTTTATTATTAGTTACCATAAATATTTTATATTTCATTTTCCTATATTACCGTATATTACGTTTCATTTTTTATTTAATTCATATATCAATTATCATAAAATATTTATTATTCTTATTTCTAAATTTTATAACATTTTTTATTTGTATTTATTTCTCATATATGGTATATCAAATTATTTATCCTTTAATGATGTTCGATTTGACATTCATATTATATATATAATGCAAAAAAAACAATATATATCCTTAAAAATAAAATTTTAATTTACTTATCAAACTAAATTAAAAAATATCAAATAAAATTATAAATTATCCTACAAATCAATAAAATTTATGTGTATTAAAATATCATAAATAATTATTTTACTTGAAAAAAATATGTAAACTAAGTACAAACATATTTATATGAAAATAATTCTACAAGTTTATGTCTCAACTTAAATGAAGAACACATAGAAAATGAACTTTATAACTAAAATAATAAAAATAATTATATTTTATAAAGTTTAATCTCATACACATTATATTTAATATTGAATATTATAAAGTTGAAGTTATTTTCAAAAAATATTAGATAAGGGAACAAAACTGTAAAAAATATAGAGTATAATTGATAATATAATCAAAATTGAAAAAAAAATTAATTCAAATCAAATTAACGAGTTGTAAATAATATATATATATATATATCTGTGTGTGTGTGTGTGTGTGCGTGCGCGCTCTCGCGCATGTTTGTGTATGTGTGTGGGTGGGGAGGGATTAAAAAGAATTATTATTTTGACAAATCGAATATAAAAATAGATATTATTTTAAATAATTAACTTTATTATTCTTTTATTCATTAATTATATATTTAATTATTATTAATTCTAAAAATAATTTTCTTCACTTCTTTATTTTGATAAAATACTTAATTTTCAAGCATCATGTGTTGTTCACGAGCGTTATATTAACTGTAGAATAAAATTAATTATTTTATTTAATTTTTATAGACATGAATATACATGAAATAGAACAAATAATACTTATAAGAATATTTTTTATAATTCAAAAATAATATTAAAAAATATTTTTTAATAATTATTTATAATATTTTACTTCACAATAAAAAATTTATTTTATTTTTTTTCAATTTTTGTTAGACCAAAAAACCTTTTATTTACTTGCTTTTTTTCTACGAGCTCGGAGAATCCCTTGTAATACATTGAAAAAAAGTTTGATAAATTGTCTCGCACGAGTTGTGTACTTGTATAAGTACCGGAGAAATTCCCTAGTATATAGGTACTAGTACAACGCCCGTTATACACGGGTGCTTGCTAAATTTTTCTTAAAATCTAAAATTAATGAGAAAAAGTACTTGAAAATTTAAATATCTTTTATAAAAATATATATATTATTATATATTTAGTATGACACTTTTTATTTGTGCAACTTACATGTGTTATATTATAATAGTTTTTTAAACTTACAACATATAACTACATTAAACATAAATATATCAATTGAGAAATAATTTTATTTTTCTAATGAATTTTAATAAATATTATTATTTTCTATTATTATAAAAATAAATATAATTTATTTATTTCATATATACAATAACGGATCAAATCGAAGATCATCAAAAGATAATTAATTTGATATATCCTCCTATATATTAATTCAGAACATGCTGAGCCTAAGTGGTAGGCTCGCATGTTTCGGGATCTTATGTGGCAAAATTACATGCTTCGTTATTAGGCTTTGGTAGATTTTAATTTACTTCAATCCAAAAATAATTAGGTTCAGATATCCATAAATATGTTGATTATTTATGGTCATATTAACTGTATTAATTGCATTGTAATATCAATTCTTATTATAATCATTAAATTTTAAAAGTTAATAACTTTCGTATTTTTTACCAGTTTTACATATATAATATATCAAATTAATCATCTCTTGATGAGTTTCGATTTAACATCCATATTGTATATATAAAAAAATAAATTATATTTATCTTTATAACAATAATAAATTTATTTTTTAATATTAATTAGAAAAATAATATTTTTCATCAATTAATATATTCATATTTTAAATAGTTATGTGATATAAGTTATAAGTATTGTAAGTCGCATAATTAACAAGTGTCACTCTAGAATATAATATAATATAATATATATATATTGTAAAAAAGTAAATAAAAATTAAAATAAATTTTCTCATTAATTTTAAAATCTAAGAATAATTTTTTAACAAGCACCCGTGTAATACACGAGTGTTGTACTAGTTATATATGTAAAACCGATAAGAAATACAAAAGTATCAACTCTTAAAATACATTTATAATTCAATAGCTAATTGAAGGAAACAAATCAAAAGTCAGGGACATATTAGTCACTTAGTGCCTCAGTATGTAAAATTACAAAGAAATAAAAGGTTATATTAGTATAAGTGATATTAAAATACCTAAGTTAGCTAAATAATATTTATGGAATGTCCAAACATAAATTATTAATTATTAATATATCAATATTATTTGTCTAAATCTAATTACAAAGCATGATTATTTGCCAAGTAAAATTCTGAAGCACTAGAATCAGCCACGTAGGCTCAAAGGCATTCGGGAATAATATATAGAGAGGAGAGCATGGGAGGATGGTATGGGATAAATTTTTATAAAACTTGGTAAAAAAGCTAATTATTTGTCCTACCTTTTTTCTTTTCTTTTTAGATTATAATATAAGATCTCTCACTCTTCATCAACGACCCGCAAGCGTTCTCCGCCGTAGACCCACTCCATCATCATCGCCGCCGCCGCCGCATAAGTTTGGTTAGTTCAGTACGCCCTCGTTATTTTGCTTAACATATTTGCGAATGTTGTGATCTGCTCAGCTGTTTAGACCCACAGCTCTTGATTTGGGGATTAGACCTCTTTTATTAAGTCTAAAGAGAAATACCTCAAAACCCATTCCGATTAATTTTACATTTGTCGTGTTAGTGTTGTTCTGGTTCGATATCTTATTTGAAATTAGTTTATTGCTGATTTTGTGTTCTGGGCTTGAAGAAATTTATCTATTGAATCATTCAAATCAGTTTTAGCATTTATTTATCCATCTCAATGACATTAAACAATTTACATTCTACATTTTGTGGCGTATGTTAGCATGATAGAAGATTGTTACTTTGTTTGCATTTGTACTTTGTTGGGTTGTGATTCATACGCGACAACACTAATGAAATTTTCTCTCCGAAACTAAGTGTAAAGCTTACGAGAAGCGAAGCTTGCTTTTTTTGCTGCTATATTCTGCTCTTTACCATGTCAGCTGTGACTTGTATGTGCAATTGTTTGCTATTGCACTCTACGATTTTTTTGTTCTTTTGTGAGAATCTTGAATCTGCATTTGCTGTTATGAACTCTGGCGGCTACTTTTCTGAAAGATCTCTAGATGTTTAGCGACTTCTTGGTCAATTACCAGTTTGTACTTGTATGAAATAGCAGCACCAGAATTTCAAGGACTGGCTTTTGAACTGCTTATGACTCCTCTGTACATGAGCTGATATTCAGCAAGCTATTGACTGATGCTGAAGGAAAGTCTAGGGTTAATTACAAACATTGCATGAGATTTAGCCCAATTATCGAAACAAAAAAGTATGAATCCAATGAACTTTCGAACCACAAATTCTCCCAATGAACTTTCAAACCACAAATTCTTACTTGGCATAGATTTTCCTGGTACGGATTTTGTGCCCTGGTTATTTGCAATTCTGAGGGAGAGTTTTTTATTTGTGATGAAGATAAAACCTCGGGACTAATTTTGCAAGCACAATTGTGATAGCGCATGCTGATATCTTGCACCTGAAATCTCAGGGTTACTGAGAAAGAAATGGATGATGTCATAACCGAGGTGCCACCACCATCAAGGTTGTTGCCAGAAGACCTCAACAATTTCACACCGCCGCCAGCTCCCCTCCCGTCTCCCTTCCTCGTGTTTCCGCCCCACAATTCTGAAAATACCCTCCTCCGCCCCTCAATTCTTATCGTCGCCATGTCATCTCCTTCCCTCCACTTCCTCCACCACCTGACCCCGAAATCGCTCGTCTGCTCCCTCATCCTCCCTGAGACCCGTCTCGCCGGAATCTCAGCCGGACCCCAATCGCTTACGGACAAATCATGCAACGTGTATGCTCTCGGGTCAGTCTTCATCGTCCTGGTCCAGTACCCTGTGATCCCAGAGCGGGCTCATGCGGTAGCTAAGGCTCTGGTCGGTGGGAGAATCGTGCCCGAGAAGGTCTTGATTCTCGATTCCATTCAGAGCCGTAATTTTCGGGGCACGCTGTCGAGAGATGAGGCCGTTGCTTTCAAACTGGAGACGTCACTCGAGAGGGGGAAAAGCTCGTTTTTGGTGAAAGGGCTCGGCTACTACCCTTCGGGAAGCGTGGTGGATGGGCTTGGGGCCGCTTTGTTGGGCTGGTGCCAGCTGATGAGGATTGAGGGGACGCTGTTGATGTCATGGCCCGACTTGGGTAGGCCTGTGATGAACCTGGTGAAGTCTGTGCTGGTGAAGGATGTGTTGTGTGGGGTTGAGTACAGTGTGGATGGGGATTACGAGGACGAGTATTTGAAGCTGAGCCGCAGGAAGGCTCGTGTGGATAGTGACTTGTACACGTGATCAGTGCCTGTTTTGTTTTAGCAAACCACTGTTCTCATCATTTGCAAGAAGGTGAATCTGTGATTTTGGAAGATAGCTGCTAGTTTTGTACTTGTGCTAAATTATGATAAACCTTTTGAGACAGGTATTTTTTTTTTTTTTTTTTTTTTTTTTTTTTTTTTGTGTAAGGATCAAGACTCAGACAGGTAATCTTGCAGTGCAGTGCAGTGCATTTAGCCCCTGGGGTTAGGGTCGAAATTTCAGATAAGAAAACGTGGCCGACGTTTTTATTAACCGAGTATTTGCAAAAACGTGGTGCTGTATGAAGAAGAAAATTAATTGCAACGAACTGATTTTGTTCAAAATTGATACTTATAAATAACGTGGGTGTTAGTTTGCATATAAAAATAAAATTAAAGATTTTCTAATTTATTTGAAAAAGTAATCAAAGTTGTGTAAAAGTGGAATTAACCACTACTCCTTATCATTCATATTATTATTATTATCATTATGTATTGAAAGGTGTGCCACTCACCTATAAAAAGGGGCCAAATATCATTCATATTATTATTACTAATAGAATATTTTTTTTGTCAATAATAACCTTATTTAATGAAGATAGAGATAGATGTTTTGAGAAAAAGTGAAGAGTGAATATGAAAAGACGTAATGTATTTATTGGCTAAATGAGGGTAATAATGGAAAAATATGTACAAAAGATCCAAAACGACATTTATTTGACAAATAGTTAAAAATGCTAGAATGACATTTAAAAAAAATAGGAGGGAGTATTATCATTATGTATTGAAAGCTGTGCCACTCACCTATAAAAAGGGGCCAAATCAATGTAATGTGGGTACGGAAAAAGAAGTAGAAAGAAAGAAAAGTTTAATTTGTATCCGGCTTTGACATTGTGTTCTTTATATTCCTCGCATTTCATAACACGTTATCAGCACGAACGCTCTACCCGGTCAAGAAAGGTAGGA